TGTACGGGTTTTACTTATACATGAATTTCATGTAAATGCATTTGTATGGAGAGAATAGGAAATGGAGTCTTGTGGTACCTTTGCTTCGGGGTTTGCTTGTTGTGTGCAAGAAAGTTTCGGTCTTTTTCTGTTTCACGCTAACTAACAACATTTAGGAGGTGTTATTGGTTCTTGTATTTTAATGGATTTGAGAATCTAAATCAAATTCAATGTTATTGGTTCTTGTATTTTAAAATTTATATTGAAATACAGTGTTATTGGTTCTATGATTTTAAAATCTATAATGAAATACAGTGTTATTGATTCTATCATTTTAGAATCTAAATATTATAAGGATTTGAGTTTAATTAAATTTGAATGGATTTGGAAGGATTTTTATGACTAAAATACAAAGACCTAAATACAAGGTATAACCTTGGTATTTGAGTGGATTTGATTTTTTTTTCTATTTTGCTGATTTTGAAATCAATAAATTTATCAAATCCAAAGACCACCAAAATACAAGAACCAATAACCCCTACTCATAAATCTTTTTTGGATTTAGAAGGGGTTATTGGTTCTTGTATTTTGGTGGTCTTTGGATTTGATAAATTTATTGATTTCAAAATCAGCAAAATAGAAAAAAATCAAATCCACTCAAATACCAATGTTAGACCTTGTATTTGGGTCTTTGTATTTTAGTCATGAAAATCCTTCCAAATTCATTCAAATTCAATTAAAACTCAAATCATTATAATATTTAGATTCTAAAATGATAGAACCAATAACACTGTATTTCATTATGGATTTTAAAATCATAGAACCAATAACACTGTATTTCAATATAAAATTTAAAATACAAAAACTAATAACACTGAATTTGGTTTAGATTCTCAAATCCATTAAAATACAAGAACCAATAACACCTCTTAAGGTGTTCGTTTGTTTTTTTTTTGGTCGAATTAAGGTGTTCGTTTGTTACATAGATATATTTTTAAAACCATAGATAATTTTTTTTTTACAAACCTTAAGGTGTTCGAAAAGGATTTCTCTGGCCCAAACTTTCGGCTTCTTCTTCTCAGCGTCTGTCCAAAATATGCCCAATAAACTGAGATGAGAACAAACTAAATCAAAATCATCGAAATATGGGCCCTATCCAAAAGGCCCAGTTTCATGAGATTGGCATCACCACGTGATTGGCACGTGGAACCCGACAAAGAGAAGTAGCAGAGAAAGTAGTGGCATCGGCAAGTTCGCATCCAATAAAGAAAAGACAGATTTGATAGAGAAGCCGCGAAAGTTTATGTCTTTCTTTTTGAAGGATTTTCCGGGGAAAGCTTAGTCACCGGAAAATGTTTCTATCTCACCCTCCTCAAGCAATTCAACCGACTTATCATACCCTCAACTTCTTACCTCGCTGTTTCCCGAAGCAACCGTCGTGTTCCGTCGCCTTGAACAATCCTTCGACAGCGTCGGCCGCCGGAACTAAAATCTCTAACAATCAATTAATTCAGTCACTGTGCAAAGAGGGTAACTTAAAACAAGCTCTTCGCGTCTTGTCTCAGGAATCAAGCCCGAGTCAACAGACTTACGAGCATCTGATTCTATGCTGCGGTCGTCGAAGCTCTCTCTCTGATGCTCTGCGAGTTCATCGGCACATTCTGGATAATGGGTCCGATCAAGACCCTTTTTTGGCGACGAAGCTTATCGGTATGTACTCGGATTTGGGGTCAGTTAATTACGCACGGAAGGTGTTCGATAAAACGCGTAAGAGAACAATATACGTCTGGAACGCTTTGTTCAGGGCGCTTACACTAGCGGGTCACGGAGAAGAAGTGTTGGGTTTGTACTGGAAGATGAATAGGATCGGAGTCGAATCAGATAGGTTCACATACACTTACGTCCTCAAGGCCTGCGTCGCATCGGAATGCACGGCGGATCATCTAGCCAAAGGGAAAGAGATTCACGCACATCTCACCCGGCGCGGATACAATCCTCATGTTTACATCATGACCACGTTGTTGGACATGTATGCTCGATTCGGCTGTGTGAATTACGCCAGCCATGTGTTCGATGGAATGCCCGTGAGAAACGTTGTTTCTTGGAGCGCGATGATCGCCTGCTACGCGAAGAACGGAAAGGCTTTCGAGGCTCTGAAGACTTTCCGTGAAATGATGACTGAGACCAAAGATTCATCCCCTAACTCTGTGACTATGGTGAGTGTGCTTCAAGCTTGTGCTTCGCTTGCGGCTCTAGAGCAAGGGAGATTGATTCATGGGTACATACTCAGGCGTGGGCTTGACTCTATATTGCCGGTGATCAGTGCTCTTGTGACAATGTATGGTAGATGCGGTAAGCTCGAGGTGGGACAAAGAGTATTCGATCGGATGCGTGAGCGTGATGTTGTGTCTTGGAACTCCTTGATATCAAGCTATGGCGTTCACGGGTATGGAAGGAAAGCGATTCAGATATTCGAAGAGATGCTCGCCAACGGGGCTTCCCCGACGCCGGTAACGTTTGTTAGCGTTTTGGGAGCTTGCAGTCACGAGGGTCTTGTTGAAGAAGGAAAAAGACTGTTTGAGTCAATGTGGAGAGACCATGGGATAAAACCACAGGTCGAGCATTATGCTTGTATGGTTGATCTTTTAGGTCGGGCGAATCGGTTAGACGAGGCGGCAGAGATGGTACAAGACATGAGGACTGAGCCAGGGCCTAAAGTTTGGGGCTCTCTTCTCGGGTCTTGTAGGATTCACGGTAACGTTGAGCTCGCGGAGCGTGCGAGTAAAAGGCTCTTTGCTCTTGAGCCGAAAAACGCAGGGAACTATGTGCTATTGGCAGACATTTACGCAGAAGCTCAGATGTGGGATAAGGTTAAGAAAGTGAAGAAGCTTCTTGAGTACAGAGGACTGCAGAAGCTGCCTGGTCGGTGCTGGATGGAAGTGAGGAGGAAAATGTACTCGTTTGTCTCGGTTGATGAGTTTAACCCTCTCATGGAACAGATTCATGCCCTCTTGGTTAAGTTAGCCGAAGATATGACGGAGAAAGGGTACGTACCGCAGACGAAAGGCGTTCTGTATGATCTTGAGACGGAAGAGAAAGAGAGGATAGTGTTGGGACACAGCGAGAAGCTGGCGTTGGCGTTTGGGCTGATAAATACAGCGAGAGGGGAACCGATAAGGATCACCAAGAACTTGCGTTTGTGTGAGGACTGTCACTTGTTTACAAAGTTCATCTCCAAGTTTATGGAAAAAGAGATTTTGGTTAGAGATGTGAACCGGTTTCACCGGTTTAAGAATGGAGTGTGTTCTTGTGGAGATTACTGGTAATAATAATACTTAGGGGATTTATACGTTTGCTTGTGAATAATAAGCAAGGGAGAGATCTTGATTCTTGACTTGAGTTCTTGGACCTAAAGCCAGGCCAAAGAAATAACAAAGCAGGTTAATAGTATTGTTTTTCAATAAATAAACAAAAAAGAGTGTTTTTACTTTACCCTCAGTTCCATTTTTTGTTTTCCATTTTTCCTAAATCATGGGAAAACACCTTCAAAAAACCAAAAAAAAAAAGGAAATGTCGTAGAGAAAAAGACACCAAAAAAGGAAAGAACGACAAGAAAGGAAAATTAGGATCAGGATCAAATATGCATATTATATATAATACAGCAGCCAACAAGCTAAGTATTCAGTTTTGTCTACGAACATACTAAGAGAGATCAAAAGATGGCGGCACTAACTAATATCTGTGTTTTGTCGTTTGCGTTTTTCTGGAGTTTGATCAGATATTTTAGCGGCTGGAATAACGTTTCAAAGACGACTGATCTACGGCCGAGCGGTTTAGGAACTGGATGGATTTGCGTCATCTTCTTAGTCATTCTTGCCGCCATCTTCTTCATCAACACCAGTGAACAACTTCTGCAGTCTTTCTGTGAATGTGGGTTTGGGATTCTAGCGATCATCCTAATCTTCTTCACGCTTTATCTCAAAAGCTATTATTTTAGCGGCTACGTTTCAAAGACGGCTAATCTAAGACCGAGCGGTTTAGGAACTGGATGGATTTGCGTCATCTTCTTGGTCATTCCTGCCGCAATCTTCTTAATCAACAAGACTGAACATTTTCTGCAGCTTTGCCGTGAATGTGGGTTTGGGATCATCCTAGCGATCATCCTAATCTTCTTCACGGTTTCTCTCAAAGGCTATTATTTTAGCGGCTGGAATAATAACGTTTCAAAGACGGTTAATCTAAGACCGAGCGGTTTAGGAACTGGATGGATCTGCGTCATCTTCTTGGTCGTTCTTGCCGCCATCTTCTTAGTCAACAAGACTGAACATGTTCTGCAGTTTTTCCGTGAATGTGGGTTTGGGATCCTACCAGTCATCATATTCTTCTTCGCGCTTTGTCTCAAAGGCAGTTTTAGCGGCCGGAATAATAACGTTTCAAAGACGACTGATCTAAGACCGAGCGGTTTAGGAGCTGTGGATGGATTTGCGTCATCTTATTAGTCATTCTTGCCGCCATTTTCTTAATCAACAGCAGCGAACAGTTTCTGCAGTTTTTCCGTGAATGTGGGTTTGGGATCATCCTAGCAATCATACTAATCTTCTTCACGCTTTATCTCAAATGTTACTATTTTAGCGGCTGGAATAACGTTTCAAAGACGGCTGCTCTACGACCGAGCGGTTTAGGAACTGTATGGCTTTTTTGCGTCATCTCCTTGGTCTTACTGAATGTGATAAATCCTCTTAATCAACAACAGTGAACAAGCTGATGAGTTTTGGATTTTTAGTAATCGTCTTTGTCTTTCTTTTCATACTTTAATCTCAAACGCGTTTCTTGATGTGTCCTTTTTTTATTATGTATATATGATTTTTTTGTGAATTTTTAATCAGAATATTTTACTTGATGCAAATCGAAACTGATTTAAAGAGAGAACATTGGATTTATATATGATTACAGAAACTTAACTTGAAACAGAGGAAAGAGACGAAGAAGAACTGTACGGAACTCAAAAACAGCAGGCGTTTTCAGTCGTCATCGACATAGATAGTCTCCTGCTTAAACAGTCCTCCAAAGACTTTTCTCACCTCTTTCTCTGGCTTCTTCAGACGCTCTTCCTTCTGTTTGGGCGCAAACGCAGGTTTAGCGTTCACGTTCCTCTGTTTCACCACTGCTTTCTTGGGTGGCAAGTTTCTCGCCTTGGCCTGTCCCCTGACCGTAGCAACCTGCACTTTAGGTATCTCTGAAGCGTTTTGAACCGCGGTTGCGAACTGAGAGCCGAGTTTATTCCAGGATAAACCGGACCCGATATCTTTAGCCTTGTTGAACAGACCGTCCACTTTGATTCCCACCGCCTCTGCTTTCTGCTGCGCGTCCTCGGCTAAGCTTGCAGCTTCTGCTTCTTTCTCAGAGAGCTTCTGCATCTGTTTCTCGAACTCTTTCGCTTCTTCCGCTGCCTCTCGGGCTTTCTCAGCTGCGGCTTTCGCCTCTTCCTCGGCTCTCGCCCTTGCGATCCCTTCTGCGTACACTTTCCTCCTTCCGTCTTCCGGGATTACACTTTCATAGTCAACACAAACATTAACTTAAGCCATAAGGCTCTCTACATAGAACACGTTGTAACCCGAATTCGCTATTTTTAGGTCATTGTGATATTACTTGCAATACAAACAACAACTTTTGAATCATTCAACAATGATATATACATATGTAGACGTTTCATTTACCTGAAAAGCTCGTCTACTGGCCGCGACAGTGCTGATGGATCTGTGGAAACGTCCACCACCTGCAAAAAGACACAAACATAACTGAGATCATCAATTTTTTGAGCACAACACACTGACACAACACACAAACGTTAATGGCTACTTTTGTTTGTGTGTAAGTTACTTGTGCTATACGCTACCTTGTTTTCTGCCACTGCCGTGTTAGCGAAAATGTCTGCGACCAGCGACGCGATCTTCAACTTTGGGACCTGGTAGCAATCAGAACAGCCGAAACAATTAAATAGAAATCATTTGTTAACTCGTTTCAGTGTAAAATATGATAAAATCTCCTTAATCGCATACATTACATTACTTTGTAGGCCTCGGAAGAACTGCTGCCGTTACCGCTGTTACTTCCTTCAGCTGAAACGACGACGTTATAAGATTTCTCCGGCGAGAAATCCTCCGTCAAGCTCGTCTTTATGAGCGTGTACGCCACGTCAGTTTGAGCAACTTTCTCGATGAGGTCAGAGATAGTCAACGGCTGAGATTGAGCGAACAGGTTGCTGAAAAATGAAGTAATCCCGTCCAAAACATTGTACGTGGATCCGCTGATGCTCCCGTCGTAGACGATCGCCACGTGGCTTACGCCCGCGAGCTCAGCCGCTTGGACAACGAGTAGCGCGTCTGAGGTCGAGACTTGGGCGTCTGGGCCGTTCTCTGTCGCCCCAACCGTAACCACAACTTTGGTCGCGTTTCCAATTGCTTTGGCGATTGATTCGGCGTCTTGGAATGGGGACTGCACCGCGTTTAGCCTCTTGACCTCCTCGTCTGATAGAATCTGTTGAAAAGCTGATCGTCAAACGATTAATCAAAACGCTAAACGCGACCGAATTGGCATCGCATGCTGTTGTATACTTGTACATTATTAGGAAATCGAAATTGATAAGCAAGATTAGCTAAATCAAAGGTGTAACAAATTCGTCATCTCTGTCATAAATCTAAAGTGCGATTGCGACCAGAAATCAGTATCGCGTTTAGAAATTGGACAGATTAGAAGCGAGACCTTGTAAGTAGCCGCGACACGTGCAAGGTCCTGAGCGGCTCCAAGATCGGGAACGCCGGCTCGGACGCTGAATCCTCGTTGCAAGAGCGTTTGAGCTATTCGTATACCGGCTTGTCCAGTAGCACCGGCCACGAAAACCGTACCGGGATCTTTTCTCCTGTTGTTACCAAACGCTAAACCGGTCGAAGGGTTCGTCACCACCGGTATCAAGGACTTCATGTCCGGTAACTTTCCGAAATCGAATCGGAATGGGTTAGAATCTGGCGATTTCCCCGTTTGCTTTCCCTCCGCATCATCGCCCTTGGGTTTCCCGAGCTGAAACCCCGTCTGTTTGGCGGCCAACACGGTTAACCCCGGTTTCCTCCGGTTAAACCTTGCGGTGGTTAATGGGAATGAAGTGGAACTGGAAGCCATTAGAGGAGGTCGGTGAGCTGAGGCGTTTATTGCTTGTTCCTCAAGTAAACAATGTGAATGCCAATGCCATACACTGAAGATGAGACATCATGGCGAGTGCGAAAGGCTTTCGTTGTTTGTGTTTTCCACAGATGCTTCATTATCCGGAACGGATTTACAGCCAATGAGATCATGCCACGTCATAAACATATCTTGATTTGGCTTCGTGTGAAACTTTTCGCCACAGAATCTCGATCATGCGGGTCCCAGTCATTAGAGACTTTTCAACTTCGTCACAATATTTTCACGTGATTACATACATATGCTTCTTGATGCGACAAGTTTTTTTTTGTTTCAATAGATTTGGTTTAAGATGGTTGTATTAATACATTTTACTCAAATATTGAAACTGTTCCTCCTCTTCAAAGATCCCCATCAAGGTTGAATCATATCCAACACTAATAAACTAACTTTATCGTTCTGTCCTTGAACTTCAAACCACAAAATTCAAATCTATTTGTTAAGAAAACAGAACAAAAAGGCTCTGCTTCTTTACAGTTTACACTACAGAACAATAAAATATGGTATCGTCGATTAATACAAAACAATAGAAAACTTGAAGCATTGCTTCATATGTATATGTTTCACAGCTTTTCCTCATCCACAAGTATAATACTACATGCTTTGAAACTTACTTCATACAAAAAGAGGCTTTAGTTTTCACTTAAAATAGAATCATAAAAAAAATTAAGGCACATATCTTCCAGTAATTGTCTGTTTTACTATAATCAGCAACCTTCAAAATGGTGGACTGTAAATATTACTGTCCGACGTACCAGTAGATAATGAGGGAGTAATAGATAATGAGGGAGTAGCTACCACTATTGTTGTTACCACGTTCTTACCATATAAGATATTCGTTTTAGTTACTTATTTTTGTAGCCGCAGCGTTGCTTTTAGACTCTCCTTTCTTTGTGAGTTAGAGTTTTCTATCAAGTTATTAGTCTTTTTTCAGTCTAACAAACTTTTATCGTTGGTTTTTTTTTGACAGTTTTCAGCAACCAACCAACCCGTCTTTGATAAGGTATTAACATTCTTTGATATACACCTTTAATTTTCTTACCATTGTATCCTCGTTTGTGATCTAATTGTCTGTGAGAATTTCCATTTTTATAATACTTCTAGATTTGAAGCTTTCATATTTTTGATATATACGTTTTGAAGATTTTTTCGGTCATTTTGTTTATGCAGTCAGCGAAATGGTGAATTTGTTGTTCTGACGAAACCTAGGGCTCTCGCCTATTGTAAATACCATAAGATGTTCATTTTTGAAGGATTTGATATCTTTCACTGTGCCTAGTTCCATATTCTTGGTCGATTTTGATTTTTGTATCATGTAAATTATTTTGATTTAACCAATTTTATTTATTATTTGTCTTTCTATATGGAGCCTCAGATCCAACCCAAAATCAAAGTTCACATTGGTTACCTCAGAAAATACGATTATAAGTATTGTAACAAGGTTTGTTAATTTCCTAATTTTGTTACTATTTTTTCCAAAACAATGATTATTTACAATCTCAATAGTGCAGTTTGTTGTTATTGCAGTGTAAAAATCCTTACTACATCCTTGCTAATTACTACATCCATTAATAGTTATAGAAAATTTTCTTTTGTTGCACAACCTTTACACAACAAACAAAATTTCTTTTCCATTATATCATATATATATATATATATATTAATATTTATTGTTGTTGGAATCTTTTCTTCACAGCTTGATTATGTAGACGATTGGACTTTCTCTTATCCCTCCATGTTTTGAGCATTCCCCACTTTGAATCATGTTGTCTTGGAGATGATAGTTAATTTTATTGAATTATTATAATTTATTTTAAGATATATATTGTTTTAATTGTTTTTGATTTTCCTTTCACAGTTTACTAAATGTGTTCAATATGATAAATGTGTCTTTTATTATTTATATATACACTTCATCAGGAAAGATAGAAGATGTTAGTTTTGCTTACGGAGGCCCACAGAGTAGCTATTGACTCTGCATTTTCTGCATTGCCACCTTACACTAAGATATTGCATCGAACCAAACACCAACAATTGGAAGGATTGGAAGAAAGTTTATAAGCTAATGTGTTAGACTTTCAGTTCCAATGGATCTTGACTCAATGGACGAAACATTCTAACTTTAATTTAGCTGACATATATGATTTTGTGATGAACATTTATTATTGCCGAGTATATTTTATTTATTACAATTTATGTGATATATGAACATATATTATTGCTGAGTAAACTTTATTTATTATAATAAACTTATTAAATGTTAATTATTTATTCTCAGTTTGCATTAGATATATAACTCAAGATTTGTAGATTTCATTCCAAATTTTAGATCCATTTATTTATTATTTAACACTTTGATTATTTAGTGCCAATATAAACATCGAATCAATAAATAGTTCATCAAATATTTTAGAAAAAATAAAAATAAATAAATAAATAGTTCATCATTTTGCTTTAAAACTGTTAAACTTGTTCATCTCGGTTAAACTCCTTTATTAAATATATTATAAAATGTTTAAATATATATTTTAATTAAGTAAATTTTAGATATGCTAAAATAATAAAATAATTGTTAATATAATATTTGGTTATTATACCGAATTTAACTATTTAATATTTTTAATTGATTTAGCTATAAAGTTAATCATTTTTTATTTAATGTTTTCATTATAATTAGATTAGTACCCCATGCTATATGAACGGAACTAATATATTCTGTTTTAGATGTATATATATATGTATTTTAAGTATATTGAAATATGTGTGTAAAAATTTATAATATTGAATTTATATATTTCTAAATTATATTAGTTATTAATCATATTATATTCAAAAATTATTAATGTTATATTTAGAAAATAATTAATTTACAGTTAAAAAATATATGATATAATATTGTATACAAAAACAATAAATATTTATTTTCTTTTTTAATTAATGATATTAAATATATTTTTGTAGAAAAATGATTAGTTTTTGCTTAAAATAGTGTTTGGTCATATAAATAGTAGTGAAAAAAAGAATTAATTAAATTAGTAAATTGTTAAGAAAAATTGTGGTACTGACATATTAACAAATTTAGTCTTTGATGTTTGTATTTTCATATATAATTAGATTAAATTTTTATAAACTTTTATGTTTATATATATAATATAATTATATTTTTTGATGACTAATATGCATTTTTGTCCAAGAGTAAATTGCATATTGCTTATAAGGAGTGTGTTCATCAGGATAGCGGAGCTGTGTCTCAAAGTTTTGCCCTCTGGAGGGATGAGCGGCATGCTCTGGGGTGAAAGTCTGGTTGGGTCTTGCACATACTAGAAACAAGTGAGTTGGGTCTCTCGGAGGACCGAAAGGAAGTTTTTCTCTCGAAGGTTCTCCGACACTAAAAAAATTAGATAACACCCCATTGTGAATAAGTACTCGAGAGGGAGGTTGAATGTTCATGTTGTTAAGATTTGGGTATTCCGTCCGTAGATCGTGATATATATATGTTGTTTGGTGAGGGTGGATGTGAAGACCAATGAGAGAGTGGGGTTGGAACTCTCTCTCGATAAGGGTTAAAGTAGAAGGTATGGGGAAAAGAAATGTTTATCTCGGTTGATGTTCCTACCAGAGAACATTGAGGGTATCCTTTTTAGTCATGCTGCATGGCTGGGGCAACACGATAAGCTCTGGTGAGAATGTTTAGCCTCCACGGTTCTTTTATTTTCTGAAATCTTTCTTTCTCTCGTAGTATCGTCTATCTCTATATCCCAGTTTGGCTGTTCCACCTCTCACCTCCGAACTCCCAAAAGGTCCTCCTCTTCTCCATTGGTCTTTATTCCCCCTTTATACTCTTATTGTCCTGATCTGTTTCATCGGTACGACGCATAGCTGGAGCAGGTAGACTTGTACATCATGCATTCAACTTGGCAAGTTCACCAACTGCCTGAGAATAGTTAGCTAGGGAGTCGTTGGGCAGTTTTAGATGGGGAAGTTGCCCAACAACTCCCTAGCTAACTAAGAAAAGTATGGACAATATTGAGAATAAAAGAGTGTAGATTGTCTCACTAAGAAAAGTATACTGATATGCTCAAATTAACCCTTAGAGCTACTCTCTCAAATTAAGAGATCATTGTAGTACTTAGGGATCGAATCCACAAGGACTTAGATTGTTGCACGATAAATTTCAGGTTCAAATCAAGCTAAGGAAAAACTAAGTGAATGTAATGCAAGTAATGAAAAGATAGCATCAAATCGATTGTGAGAAGGTTTTAAATCAAAGAGAGAAACGCTAGGTCTTGGGAATTTCGCAGGTGATTCCGAATTGCAAATCTAGACAGAATGTTAGGAGTTTATTAAGCATTGTTCTTGAACTTGAAACACTAATATAAAACCAATCAACTTCCGCTGCAGAGATTATCTATGTCTAAATCCTAGAATCTCAAATTCCTTTGCAAATCCTATCAATTCAAACAAGCATTAAAATCAGGTCCAATTGTTCACAAAATTCTAAACCAAATTCCTTTGCAAATAGGAATTTTGCTCATCTAAGATTAGTTCTGGTGATTAACAATACTTCCGCATCTATTAATCAACCTAATATCAGATTCTAGGTCATGAAGCTAGAATAAGCAATAAACACAAATCAAGATGAAGAACTCTAATGATTTTACCCTAACAATTCAATTCAACCTAGCAATTCATCATCACCTTTGAAAAACTCCTAAACCTAACAAGCAAACTACTCAGACATGATCAATGAAACAGAAATCATAATTTGAATAGAAAGCATAAGAGAAATCAATAGAAGAAATAAAGGAGTTCAAAATCTTCTCTAAAAGAGAATGATTTATCTCTCCAAAAACTCTCTAAAAATCGCTCTCTTAATCTCTTTGTAAAATAAAGCTTAGGTCTAAACAATGACCTTAAAAATCCTTTTATAGACCCAGAAT